GGCGGGTGGAGCGAGCAGTTATGGCTGCTCTCAGTCCTGCCCTCAGAGGCCCCGGCAATCGCTGCGAGCGCCTCCGAGAGAAAGCTGCCCTCGAGTTCCGACTGATGCCAGACAGTCCTGTTTCTCCCGTATGAGTATGGGTCCCCAGAGACTCACCCGGAACTGGAGCTCAGAGCTTGAGACTCCCTCCCCGATTGAAAAAGACAACCGTGTCCTCAGCCGCCAGCCCTCTCTTCATGTACCTCCGCACCTACTCTGAGTCTCAGTGTGCTTTTCTCTTTCCTTGTAGTTGTAGAATTTCCACTCAGCCAGCCTTCCTGTGGTTCTGGATGATGTCCGTTCTGTCTTTTAGTTGTATTTTTGAAGTGGTTGTGTGAGGCAGCAATCTCCAGTGTTTACCCTATGCCGCCTCTTGGTTTCTCCCCTAATGATTGGTGTTTCTATCTCTCTCTCTCTCCCTTCCTCTCTGAATTCAATAAAAAATATATTTAAAAAAATTGAAATGAGCTTTCCACAAATCAATCTGAAATATCCCCAAATCGATCTAAATTAAATAAAGGAGTCTCCACCCTCCTTAAATGTCAATCAAGTATATATCAGAATGATAAGAAAAAATTTAAAATCTCATTTCACATTCATATTTCAGGTAGTATAGAAAATTTGAAGGGATATTTGGAACATTAATGTTATCCCATAAAGAGCGCATACTAATTCATCCTATAACGTTACCCAATACTCTGCATGAAACCAGCAGATGGCAAGCTTTAGGCTTAAATACACCTATAAAAATGTAAAAAAAAAAAAAAAAAGGCAAGAAAAATGCTTTGTAAAATAAAAGTCACTGGAACGATTTCAGACAAAAATTCAATTTATGTTTTTATTGAATTTAGAGAGAAAGGAAGTGAGAGGGAGAGAAAGAAAGAAACAGTGATATGAGAGAAACCTTAATGGGATGCCTCCCTTATGCACCCCGACCAGGAATGAACCCGCAACCTGGGTATGTGCCTTGACCAGGAATTGAACCGGCAATCTTTTGGTACACAGGATGATGCTCAACTGGCCAGGGCAAAAATTCACTTAACATTATGGAAGGTTTAATGCCAATTGGCAATAATCCAATATAAATATTTAATGATATTAAATTGAGTCATTACATGATATTATCTGCAACGCTTTAATTTATATTTGCACATCTACATTTTTGCACAAATATATATTTTTCTGATGAATCTAGTATTAATAGATTGATTTCGTAACACAGTGTGAATGCTGCAAAAAGAAAAACGTTACTTACCTTGTCCCAGTTACTCGTTTGTAGTTGTCTTTGGAATGGACTGCTAGAATACTGACTCCCGAGCCAATGTTCACTACCAGCAGTGGATAGGGGTCGTCCAGGTTAAAAGGCATCTTTTGGCATCTCTCAGGTTCTGAGGCATTAGCAAAATAATAGCACTCTGCTTGTCCATTGAAACTGACAGAATCTATATACAGCAAGCCCTTTACAAGACAGTCAAGTTCATCCAGTTTGTGCAGGTGGAGGTTTCCAATCTGCAAAAAAAATACCAACAAATTTTATAAAGTGAACAATAACCAGCATTCAAAATACTGACTCAATTATACTGTACAAGAGGCCCGGTGCACCAAATTCATGCAGAGGGATGGGGGTTCTCCCTCAGCCCAGCCTGCACCCTCTCCAATCCAGGATCCCTCTCACAAACCGGAACGGCTGGCTCCTAATTGCTCACCTGCCTACCTGCATGATTGCCCCTAACTACCCCCCTCCCCTGTTGGTCTGGTCGCCCCATACAGCCTGCTGTTCAGTCGTTTGGTCGTCCCTAACTAACCCCCCCACCAGTCTTGTCGCCCCTTGCAGCCTGCTGTTTGGTTGTTACTGTGAGGGCGTCCTGACCAATTTGCATGTTACCCTTTTATTAGTATAGATAATTTTCATGTACTTTACAAAACTTCAAAATCCTCTATGACCCCCACATTTTTACTTTTTTCTTTTGTGTCAAATTCTCTTTGGGACTTTATCTAGTCCAGTGGCCTCAGTGACGGTGGTTTTATTTCTGGAGGCATTTTGGAAATCTGTGGGGACATCTTAGTTGTCATGAAGATGGGATAAAAGGACCAAATTAACATTCAGTGACAGGGACTTGGGATGCGACATCTTTCCTAGCTTTTGGAACATATGCCCAAACAAACCGGTCTTAAAGTGATAAAATGTATGTTTAAATTACTCAATAAATTGAAATCAGGATTATCAATTAAAGAAAAATAATAATGAACATTTAGACTCTTAAACAATCCTAAATTACAAGGAGGGTAGTTTATGTGAGCCATATATAAATGATCACTTTTGTTCTATTAACACTTTTCTTATATGAATTGAGAAATTAAATGGCATACATGCATATTTTCAAGGAAAAATTTTAGTAGTCCCAAATACCAACTTTTAAATATTGATTATAATGAAAAGGACTAGAAGCCTGGCAAACCTCTACTAGCACATAACCCAAATCAACACTTACATAGTCCTCTTGCCATATCCAAATAATTGCCAAATTACCTTTGAGACAGTAACATAAAACCAGGAAAAAAGGGGTAACGGACTTTCAATCAAGTGTCTACTAATCAGAAGACACTGGCTTCAGGTGGGGTTGGGGAAGGAGGTGGCTCTGGGGAAGATGACTATATGGCTAATACTCAACAACTGCAAACATAATACAATAATGGTGAGAATAATTGAAGCCACATTTCTATCTGGCTTTGTACATTGCCAAATTCATTAAAGTTCTTTTTATTGTTGCAGTCCCTAAAAAGAGCAGGTTTTTAGCAAATATCATATACAACAATGACCCCAAATCTGGCACTTCTTACTTAACTTATAAAGGTGTTTAAATGCCCCAAATCAAAAGCTAGTCATGAATCAGCAGGAGTGACCAATTTGCATGTTACCCTTTTATTAGTATAGATAATTTTCATGTACTTTACAAAACTTCAAAATCCTCTATGACCCCCACATTTTTACTTTTTTCTTTTGTGTCAAATTCTCTTTGGGACTTTATCTAGTCCAGTGGCCTCAGTGACGGTGGTTTTATCTCTGGAGGCATTTTGGAAATCTGTGGGGACATCTTAGTTGTCATGAAGATGGGATAAAAGGACCAAATTAACATTCAGTGACAGGGACTTGGGATGCGACATCTTTCCTAGCTTTTGGAACATATGCCCAAACAAACCGGTCTTAAAGTGATAAAATGTATGTTTAAATTACTCAATAAATTGAAATCAGGATTATCAATTAAAGAAAAATAATAATGAACATTTAGACTCTTAAACAATCCTAAATTACAAGGAGGGTAGTTTATGTGAGCCATATATAAATGATCACTTTTGTTCTATTAACACTTTTCTTATATGAATTGAGAAATTAAATGGCATACATGCATATTTTCAAGGAAAAATTTTAGTAGTCCCAAATACCAACTTTTAAATATTGATTATAATGAAAAGGACTAGAAGCCTGGCAAACCTCTACTAGCACATAACCCAAATCAACACTTACATAGTCCTCTTGCCATATCCAAATAATTGCCAAATTACCTTTGAGACAGTAACATAAAACCAGGAAAAAAGGGGTAACGGACTTTCAATCAAGTGTCTACTAATCAGAAGACACTGGCTTCAGGTGGGGTTGGGGAAGGAGGTGGCTCTGGGGAAGATGACTATATGGCTAATACTCAACAACTGCAAACATAATACAATAATGGTGAGAATAATTGAAGCCACATTTCTATCTGGCTTTGTACATTGCCAAATTCATTAAAGTTCTTTTTATTGTTGCAGTCCCTAAAAAGAGCAGGTTTTTAGCAAATATCATATACAACAATGACCCCAAATCTGGCACTTCTTACTTAACTTATAAAGGTGTTTAAATGCCCCAAATCAAAAGCTAGTCATGAATCAGCAGGAGGAACTAAGCTAAGAAACACACTGGATGGAAACCTAGCCTCGTATTTAAAAACTGAAGAGACTGGGTATTAATTTCTGGCTTTGAGTAACAGACACCTACTGTGCGAAAATCTTTTTCAAACTTGTAAGCACCACCTCCTGTAGCACATAGCACCGTGTGTAATGTGGAGAAGTTTTTATCTCTTCCCATTTGGATAAAAGTAGGCAGGTCCTGGGTTGGAAATCTGATAAAGTGCAGGTTCCCTCTTCGGCCAAAAAGTGTTAAATCCTTCAGTTCAAGGTGTACATCCCGAATACCTGTGGATCCATATGCTACATTAGAAGTCAAATATTTCCGGATACTTTTCAAGCTCTCAACTTCTTCTTGTTCTTCCTCTGCTGTGATATCAATCGGTTCAAAATATGAGAGTTTTACTAGAGTTCCCCCAATGTCCATGCCAAACCATGGGAAAGCTGTGGATAAAAACAGGAAAAATATATAAGTATATTTTGGGAAATGCAAATTAGAAATGAGTTAATTAGCCACAAACTTCATTTACCCTCAATCATTAGTCCATAATATTTATGAGTTAAAACATATCTTCTATGTATGGGGTAAAACATAACACCCCTTCTCCCTTCAAAATGTTTTTACATCTTTTCTAAAAACCCATACAGAGAAGGCCCAGGGCCTTTTAATTCCTATCAAGGCATTCCTTTTTCTTTATGAAATACTTATAAACATATTTTTTTTAAAAAAGTAAAATAAGCCCTGCCAGCATGGCTTATAGCATCGACCTATGAACCAGGAGGTCACGGTTTGATTCCTGGTCAGGGCACACACGTGCCCAGGTTGCGGGCTCGATCCCCAGTGTGGGGCAAGCAGGAGGTGGCCAATCAATGATTCTCTCTCATCACTGATGTTTCTCTCTCTCTCCCCCCCCTCCCTCCCTCCCCCTTTCTCTCTGAAATCAATAAAAACATATTTTTTAAAAAGTTATGCATCAATCTTCTCCCCCTCATTCAAATAAATCAGTAGGAGCAAGCAGCAATACTGACGGTCACAGAGGGGACATTCACAGCCAAGTGTTTGCTTGGATAAACACAGTTAAAGAAAATAATATGAAATAGGCCCAATTGATCCAATAAAGCAGAGATTCCTTCAGAATTTTCCAAATCTGTTGAGCAGATATTAGGGTACTTTTCAATGGGCATTAGATAAAATAAGGATCCTTCTCATGTTACATAACCAAAATGAATTCTCCCATTTGATTAATGCTTGATTACAGACTTCATGGGAGAGGGGGTAGAAATCATTACTGCCACATAAAGTAAAATTTGGGATAGAAAAATCCCTACAGGGTGATGTTAAGCTAACAATCTTTTATTTTCTAAAAGTCAAAACACATTAAAATCACTTAACACTCACAGTTGTTCCTTCTGGGCCTTTGTCAGTGTCAAACACACAGGCATCAAAACATACATACAAATAAAAATGTTACTCAGAGAGCAAACTACAAAGCTGAGGCAGCATAAACAGGTTCAAAGTTCATGCCATTTTCATTTCCAGTCAGAAGCCTAACTGCTCCTAGGTTATAAATACCTGAATGCTGTCATTCTGAAAAGCAAAAGTCCAGTAACACGTGAAGGACTTTTAATTCTTACAATAAACCATGAATAAAGTTCTAAAGCAGTGGTTCTCAACCTTCCTAATGCCGCGACCCTTTAATACAATTCCTCATGTTGTGGTGACCCCCAACCATAAAATTATTTTCGTTGCTACTTCTTA